CGTGTATTTATACAACATATAAAGAGAAGAAAAATATAATTTTGATGATCAAATACTCAATATAAGTGTATGGTACATGCAGTTAAAATATATTTCGTTTTTCTTTTCAAGGTCGTCATTTTGCAATAATATCTTGAGTCTCGGTGATTCAATTAAGCTAAATTTTAGGTAAAAAGTTTCCGTAAGCTTGTCGTTATCGTTCAGCTTAAATAAACCACCGAGAGTCAAGATATTATTACAAAATGACGACCTTGAAAAGAAAAACGAAATATATTCTATACTTATATTGAATATTTGATCATCAAAATTATATTTTTCTTTTCTTTATATATTGTATAAATACACGTCAAAATAACACTTTTGCATATTCATTCAGTTTGTCATAAAAAATTGTGAAAAAACAAGCACGACAGGCAATCTGATCCTCCAGATCTTTTAACCACTAATACTTTGAACTAATGTTTGAAGCCATTTCCGCATGTAGCCAAAAAATAGAAAAGCAATGCACCCTTTTAATTCTCGCAAACTCTTAGGAGGATGTTAAAATGGATGACGAACTCCACAACATACATAACGACAAAAGCGATCGTCAAAATATCAGGTCAAAAAAACAATAACAGAATTATGCTCTCTATTTCGTATTTCAGATACATAGGTAAATTTGGAGCATAATGGGAACCGAAAAAGTTTAAATAAGTTTTGAACATGTTAAAAATAAATAAATCAACTTCATGTATCAAATAATTCTTTGAATTTACATTAAAGCATTCTTTGAAATGTCCATTATAAAAAAATTTACAAGTTTTGCAGAGAAATAATAATTAAAAACGATTATTGTTTTCCTGTTTATGTTCCTATTTATATCACTCTTTATCCTTTTATTGTTTTCCTGAAAACGCATCATTTAACTTTATTGCATCATTTAACTTTATTTTATGCAAAGCTAGACAAAATGGGATTCCTCACAAAACTTGCTAATTTTTCAATTATTAATTTCTAAAATTTCTTGAAAGTGACTTATTAAGACTTATTAAGAATATGTAATAAAGACTAAGTGACTTATTAAGAATATACAACATACAAAAATGTATTAAACATTTAAACAATTATAATTATTTATCGATAACACTTTTGTTATAAAACGATGAAACTATCTTTTATTAAAATATTAATGACTGTTAATATTTTGTTAATTTTTAGTATAAATTTTCTGAAACATAATATATATAAGAAGAAATAATGCAACTTAACATCTTAACAACATAATGACATAATTCCATTATGCCTCGAAATGTATAAATTTGGATTATGTAGTATAAAACATCATAGATAGCTGATGCACAAACATTCAATTGAAATAATGACAAACAATCATTTAATTACGTATGTATATATACATATATATATAGGGTGGCGCCAAATGTTTCAGCCAGGCTTAGAGATCTTGTAGGAAATGTAATTCTGAACAAAAAATTTGCTATAAACATGAGTCGAAAAATGCTTCCTTAAAAAGTTACTGCCCAAAACCACGTTTCTTCTTAAATTACGTTTTTAAAAAACATTTTTTCAAATATCTAGGAAAGTATGCCTTTTTTTTTTTTTTTAAAGTATGGAAACCAAAGTTGTACAGTATTAAATTTTCTTTGAAATGAGGCAAAAATAATTTTATTACGTTTCATAAGTCTTGAGGTAACCTGTTTTAACAAATTAACTGGTAATGACCCACACAGCAGAGATATCCAAAATATATCATAGGGATATACTAAAGATATATTTGGGATATGTGATATCTTTAAGATATTCTTATAATATATTTGGGACATTCCTGCTGTGTGGGGACGCATTGCGCACATTGAATAACTACGATAAATTTCGATGGATATGCATAAAACATGGTATCCTAGAGTTTTTGGTATCCTAACTGTTTTTTAAAAACGTAGTTTTAGAAGAAACGTGGTTTTAGGCGGTAACTTCTTAAGGAAGTATTTTTCGACCCATGTTTATAGAAAATTTTTTGTTCAGAATTACATTTCCTACAAGATCTCTAAGCCTGGCTGAAACGTTTGGCGCCACCCTGTATATATATATATATATATATATATATATATATATATATATATATATATTTATTTATTTATTTATTTATTTACAGTAATTAAAAGTAGAATTTTATTACTGTTTACCTTATGCAACTGTGGAGAACGTAGCAAACTTTCTGCAAACTTTCCATACATTTTTGAATTTCTAAATTCAGTTGTAAGAGTACAGCAATGTTCTTTGAAATTTTCCTGAGCGGAGCAAATACACGTTCAACATGTACAAGCTGTAGAACTTTTGTATGAAGCAAATATTTACGCCAACTGTCAGTCATAACATTTGTCACATATTCATGATTACATTTGCTTGAATTCAACAAAATTGTATTAAATCTAAAGAAATATTTGTTTTTTTATGTAAAAATATCTAACTAGGATTGAATGAGGTAAGTCCTGATAATCACGCAACGTTACTTTAATTCTTAGGATCCGATAATGTTATCTTAATAATCCTGATAATCGATTGAAATCAAATCTGATCAAGAGAGATCATGGGATAAATTTCTACTAGTTGTAATATTACACAATTGTGTAACAGTTATCTTGTTAAGTGGGAAGATATAACATTGACGTAATCTTACTGTTAGTGTTTGTTGAATAACTGATCGTTCGAGATGTCAATTTTAAAACATTTCATTGATTTTGTCATATATTAAATAATATTCTAATTTTTTTGTTACATTTCTACATTTTCATTGTGTAAAAGAATTTATAATTCTCTCTTTGCAATATAATACAAATTTTACAGAAAAAAGTCAGTATTTTATTTGTAAAGTTTTCAAGTATAGCATTCTCTCTTAATAAACTTTTCATCATTCCACTATCGTTTGAGAGTGATGACATTAAACTTATTAATTTTAACAAATAAAATTATCACAAAATATTTAATATGCAAACTATCAAAAACGTATAATTCTCACATTGCAAGTGCCTACGGTATGAAATAATGCATCTCAAGGGAGCTTTAGAAACGTGACGAAGAGGCGATAGTAAAAATCAATAATATCGTTTTTCGACTCCATGTACTTTTCTCCCTCTTTCTCTCTCTCCCTCTCATTTCTAATAAATAAGAAACTTGAACGCTACAATGTACGTTATATTTGACATAATATTACAGTATGCAATATTTATTAGTAGTTTAGCAATTTTTTTATAACAAGTAAAATGTAGTTCCTTTTTATTTTGATATTATACAGTAATATTAAATGTCATATTTTTTTAGATTGTACATCTGTCGATATGTGTTAGCAGTAACTGGTTAAGCAGTTAAATTTCATCGGAATTACCGTCTAACGGCATTCGTAGAAAATACCATATATACCATAAATTGCTGCATAAAGCAGCATATCAAATTTCACCTAACTTATTACATCGAATAATTTAGAAATGTGTATCATAGTAAGATCATTTGCATTCACAAAAGCTGAATTTGTTAGTAACTTCTTACCTATTGATGATAACACGCTGCGACTTTGCTCATAGTTATTAATGATCCATACTTATTTACCATTTGACACTTTCTTATCATTCTCGAATACCAGTATCGTATTTATTTGATACGGAAATTTATCTTTACCTACATAATTTCAATAATATTTTGCCGTTGATATCATACGAGGATATCGACATAGGATAAATGTTCGTTCCGGTTCTTCAGTCTCTACCAGAGGAGGGAATTTTCTCTACATCCCACATTGACGTTGATATGATAAGAATTTACAATTCCATTCTGTGATAAAACTCCCATCATTTATTTATTTATACAGAAGTCATATTGCTTTACGATCTCCCTTTTTAAAATTGATTTAACAGAGAATTCTTTGTCGTTGTTGAATCCATCGATCGCTTTTGGTGATAATACACAGGATTTAGAATGAATGAGGAAGATAATTAAATAGTAATTTTATTTTATTCTTCCTTCTTTCATAAGAGTACTTTCAAGGAGATTATCCGCAGTCGAAAGTTAGCTCTGAGTTCTTACTCTCAAAAAGTCCAACCGTCTTGAAAAATAGATCCTAATGATATTTGAAAAAAGCAAACTCGAGAGCAAGTTGCATTGTAACTTCGTCACTTCGCTCTGAAAGGCGTTATCGGACGGTTCGATAAAATTGGTAAAAAGAGAAAATCTTGATGACTTCGCCATCTTGCTCCGAAAGAGGAGTCGACAGCAGAAAGAGAAAATCTAGGCAACTTTGCCACCTCGCCCTGAAAGGAGATCGTCGACTGATCCGGAGAACCTGAAGAAAAAGTCTAGACGACTTCACTATCTCGCCCCGAAGAGAGTATCTTCAGCAGAAATCCGGAGAACCGAAAGAGAAAATAGAAAACTATGTCCGAGTTCCTTTTTCTAGCTGCGCTCGTGAGGTGACTCTTCGTAATGGAGAAACATCTTCTTTAAGATTGAAAATAAATCCGAAAATATCAGTAATATCAGTATCTCTTGCGCAAGCGTCCTACTTATATTTCACTGTAAACGCGATTTTACTGATCCAAAATGAAACAAGCAATCTTAAGTTGTGTTAGATTATTCCACTTCTTGATGAAATGAACATAAATATTCACGAAATTTCCGTACAAAATCTATAAAATTTACAATAAATAAATATGAAAGATAAACAATGAGTAAAATACATGCTTTTTTGGAAACGTTCTCATTATAAGTGTATATTTTATCTGTACACTAAAAGAATATTTTATTTGTATCCATTTATTACAATTAAATATATTTTCATAATTATAATTGCGTCATACAAACATTATAATTAAAACATCTATTAACTTTGTAACTTTGTATTGTATTCATAAGCACATACATTACATAAATTTATAATTTTAATATTGACAACTGGCTAATTGTGTAACGCAATAATTATGACGGTAAAATGTAAGTGCAAATGTATTTTATTACGTCGTGCAATCATCGACAACGTGGCACGATTCGGAAAATATATGAATATTTTCATCATTACCCTTTTGCGCATAAACTATTAATATTTCATGTAGATCTGATGCAACTTTTTCATTTTGATTGGGCCTCCGCTTATGGAAAAATCTTCTTCTCGTATATTCCTGGGTAAACTCATCTTTTAATTCTGCCATTCGATCGTGAGGCATGTCCTCCAAAAATTGCGTTAGGAAAGACAGTATCATTTCTGTTGAAATAATTAGTAATTAATGTAAAGTCATAATTCTTAAACAACTTAAGTCGTGTGTCATATGAATATTTTAAACAATAATCAAATAATAAGAAAAATCTGTTATACGGAAATATTATTTTAGAGGTTCATACCTGGTAATTTCTGTGCGTCATGAGCAGAATAGGTTCTCTCTCGATGACTGCAATGATGGACATTAAACCCAATATTTTTGAGTAATGCTTTCAGTTCTTTATGGGGATGACCCGAATTGTGGAATATAGGAATAAAATTATTCGCATGCTGTATAAACGAAAGGAAAATATTTAATAGTTTATAGAGATGAATAATTGCAAAGAGATATAGTATATAGACAATAATATTTACCTTTATGTACGACGTATATCGGTTGTCTTGCGACAATTCATGTAAAATATCAAATGCGTCATGAGATAGTACCGTTAATATTAGCATAGTTCCGCCAGGTCGAAGTAAACGATAGATATTCTCAAATACTTGTCTATTACATAAAGAAGTAAGCTAAATTAATCTATAGAGCATAAATGACACATAGATATGTTAAAATATATTAGGGTAGTTTATATGTACAAATACATGAAATATTAATGTACTCATAGTTTTTTTTTTTTTAATCAATGAAGTGATGTTGTCATTTCATTTTTTCGTAGAAATATTGAAATACATTCACTTGCGTCGATTACATTAAAATATTTAAAAGAAAGATTAATTTAAAAAATCAATCTCTACACATTTCTAATATTTATTTTTTTAATGTCTTCCTAATATTCTCTAACATTTTTCTTACCGCATATCAGCGCACCAATGCAAAACGTGAAATGTGAAAACGTGATCATATTCAGAAACGTGTTTTTCGGGCAGATGTTTAGCTTGAATGTCCAAAATTTCGAATTCGAGTCGTTCTTCGTCAGCATGTAATTCCTTAGCATGTCCGATCATAGCTTCCGACATATCGGTACCTTTACATACAATGTAATTAAACCATAATTCTTGTTAACATGTATTATATTTTTGCAGTATTAATTTCTTACCAATGACTACCGCGTTTGGATGGAGTGCGGGTAAAAGAGTATATCTTGTAACGTCACCGGGACCGCAACCAATATCTATACACTTTCCTGACATACGTAATAATTCCTCTTCAAACTCATGAAGTAAATGTTGTACGCCAGAATGTGATAGATTGTTCGTTTGAGTATATTTCACCGGATTTACCATATTGAGTTGAAGATACTAATGATGTAAAATGTATCTTTCCTTAATAAAATATCACTTGTCTTGATCTGTATAAATTAAACATTGGTTGCAATTAAAACAGAAGAATCAGGTAAAATTTGTGTAAAAGCGTTTCCAGATGTAGATATTTTTGTTTTTGTACTTGTAACAGTATAAAATATATTATATGAATATATTATATGATTATATTATATGATTATATGAATATATTATATGTTAATCTTTGTCAATTTTTATCAAAAAGCGCGGTAGTGTCACCCTCTGAGTGTACGTGCAAAGCGTGCCACGGGCGCTTGCTTAGTCGTTTTATACATATATTTCTGCAACGCTTCTAGTTGAATGGTATAGAAGTAATGAGATATAATGAGCTCACGAAGTATGGACTATCTTCGATAACTTTTTTAAGGGGTGCTATCGTTTGATAAAATATTTTACAATTATTACTCTTAGATGTCTATTATTAAGTGTTATTATCGTCATAACATTTTTCGTTAAAAGATGCTAATTATATGCGTTTAATTTGTCCTTCGAAACTGCTTTGAAATATATCTCCCTCATATACATACCACTACGACTTATTCTTCCAGTAGTGTGCAGCAAACTCAACTTTTATGATTAATTTATACTAAACGAATGAACTTATACTGAACTGAGCTAAACTGAACTGAACGAATGACGAGTGTCGAACTGAATGAACTTTAACTGAATACTCAATAAGCGGAATAGAACTTTTATACTTTTATGATGATTGAAAAAAATGAATAAAATTAAATATATAATAAGGTAAGTTTCACGATTATATGATTAAAATTTTTAATTTGATGTATTCATTTATAATATTTTTTATTACTGAACTATTTTATTAATGAAATATCTGCCTCACTCTCTCTTGGCATCGTCTAAAATATTACAATATATTTTAAAGTGATTTTGGAGGAGGGAAGAATTGAGTATGTAATTAAGTTCTAGGATTATGCATATTTATAAATTTTTTTATAGTATCATTTATTAATAGACTATTTTATTAATAAGATGATTAGATTGTTTAAAGTATCAAACCAAGATCAATATCTTATTAATAAAACAGGTTACTAATAAAAAGTATCAAAAATTAACATAACTTTAATTTACATAGGTTATCAAGAAAGATGATATTTTATCAAAAAAAGAAGACATTTTATATATCAGTGTCCTCAACTCAACATGACAAATTCGATAAAATATTCAAGTAAACAATCTGTCATATTCTTGCGTACAATATTTAATTAATGAGTTTTGAAGAAGAATTAATACAGGTGTCAGAATAGTGTATGGATATTGATTATGATCTCGGTGACGTTATTGCATGATGACATAAACCTGTCTTAATAATAAATAAAGTCTATATTTTTCGGAGTCACATTATGTCTAACCTGACTTTTTGATATTACTAAGCTTATTTGTAAGTCAAGAAGCACGTGGCTTTTTAATATGTGAGTTTTTAAAAAATTACAAAATTTTAATTAAACAAATATACAAATATACAAACATACAAATATACAAATATACAAATATACAAACATACAAATATACTAAGTATAAAAACAAGTTCTATTAATCATTATACATAACATTAAGCATTTATAATCATTTGTAGAACAACAAAAAAATAAACATTTTGCTGCGGAATCTCAAGAAGATGTAATATAAACATGACTAGCATCTAATACATATAATGCGTTGCATATAGCAGAATTTCTATATCACGCTCTTTAGACATACAATTTTGAAAAAATACAGTATTATTATATGTTGATAAATATAGGGATCACTGCTTCTTAAATTATGTCCTATCAAAATGGTTAAGATAACTAAAAATAATATTAGGTGTACAACTTTGCTCCCGCCGTTTTTCTATAGATGGCTTTAGCGGTAAGTAGTGGTCGAAATAAATAGATCATAGACGTCATACAATAAACTTGGGCATCTGTCAACATAACTCCATAGAAACATTAGTCGATTTGTGTCTGCATCATAAAGTTATTCTCGATTGAAAATGTCAGTTTACGAGCCAAATTCTCGTCATTTGCGGGAGGTTTTAATTTTCTGCTTCAATATGAAGAAATCTGCGGCTGAGGCTCATTGAATGCTCTCAAATACTTATGGTGAGGCCGCTATTAGTGAAAGAACGTATCGTGAGTGGTTTCAACGCTTCAAGAACGGTGATTTTGACGTCGTAAACCGGCATAGCGGTGGAAGAGAGAATGTTTTCAAAGATGCAGAATTGGTGGCATTACTTGATCAAGACTCGTGTCAAAATCAAGAAGAATTGGCACGATCATT